TCTGAACTTCTATTTTTCGTCAATTAATGTAGGGTGCGAAAACTGGCGGAATTACTTCTGGTTATCCTGTACGAGCACCTCAACCACCACCTAGTTCATATCCACCACCACCACCTCCATCTCCTGGTACCTATGTGAGTGGTTCAGCTGCCAACGTACCTGGTAGGCTGCTGTATACACAACCTGGTGCTCGCTACCTTCAACGAGAGATATAGGAACATACGTTTTAAAGATTTTTTACAATCTTTAATTCTTTGATTTTTTCTTGTGCAGAGTATAAAATATTGAAATCTATGAATTGCATTGATCAAGAATTGATGATTAGTCAATATTTTAATAAAATGCAAAGAAGGTCAATATGTGTAAAGTACATAAAGAATCAAATTAAGAATAAAATATGCCTTTTGCTCTTTTAATCAAAATTTTTGTTATTTTCAATAAATATATAAATATATGGATATTTTTTTCAAATATTTTAATACAATTTTACTTTTTAAAATTGTATTATACTATTACACAAAATTAATAATTAACTCGAAATAAAACAATAGTATTTCAGATTTTTAGCTGCAAGCAAATATTTGTAAAAATAGAGAGAGATATTGAGATATTGCTTTGTGAAAATATGTTGCAATTAGAAGTTATAATTGATAAAGATTTTTTTGCGTTTTTTCCCCATTATATCATTAAATAACAATTTCTATTAAGTATATCAAATACAAATATGAATATAAGAATGCATATGTATAAGATTGAGCTTCATACCCTGCACAAATCACAGAAATTTAAAAATCATTATATAAAATGACAAATTGGAATTACATACAATGTAATTCCAATTTGACAATTGTAAAATTTGTATAATTTCATTGGATTTGACAAAGAAATATAAATGTGTAATTCATCATATATTGTATAATAATTTTTGTATAATAATTATATAATAATTTACAGAAAACTTGTAGTTATATGACAAAAAATTCAACTTAATAAGTAAATTAATTTGTCATTGTGAAAAAAGATAACATGTACTCAATTGTGAAATAAGTATAAAAAGAGAAAATTCTGTAAAAAAAAAACTATTTCTTATGATATCTTATATTCACAATAAGTTCCTAGAATTATTTCTATATAATGAATAACATTGTACTTGTCATTCTATAAGACAAACATGACCTACTTTTATACTATTCTGTATATAAATAATAAAAAAAAAACACGAGATTGCAGCAAACTTAAAAAATATAAGTTACAGCACGAAATAAAATGATGTTACAAAATAACAAAAGAAATAATTAAACATAAATTTAAATTTAGGTATTATTATAATCTCAATTTGTCCCTAATTTAAATTTATGTATTATTATAATGTCAGTTTGTCCATAAGACTCTGTAGATTTTCTCCAAATTCAGAAGTTGTATCTATCATTTGTTGTTTCTTTTTATGATGTTCCGAGCACAGATGTGCACGAAGGTTGATAATACCGTATATTTCCGCTAGACACAATTTGCAAATAACGAGTCCAATACTCTTCTCACGCGGATCCCTGTACACAGAAAGAGTATAAAAAAGATATTAATATTATATTAATAAACAACATTAAAGAACAACGTTTTGAATGATCCGAATTTAATAGAATACATCACTAATAATATGTCACTTACTGATGAGCTAAAGTCTCTAATTCTAACAGGTGCCTGATCATTTCTTCAAGTTCCTCATTTCTTTCATTTAATTCTAATGCTTTATGTAAACTGTAAACATTACTTTTCTTTGATGTTTCCCGAGCAGGCACGAGAAACAGAGTCTCATCGTATCGATTCCATTTGCCAAAGTTACTGATTGAAACTGGATCTATTTTGTTACGAGTTTTATATATCACATTTTTGAATGCATTTTTAATTTGATTTTGGCAATTTACAGTTATATCATGATGAGCATCTTCATCTACAATTTCAGATCTAGCATTGAAGTGCATAGCAATATTCATCCAATGGCGTAACTTATTAATCTGCCAACAGAATTTTTATGATTCATGTTAATTGCCTTAATTTTATACTTATATAAATACAAACAAAAGAAATCTCAGATTAAATATCTGATTGTATCATACAACATATAGTAAACGATGTAATTTAGATAACATACCATTCGTAAATCATTCATCGTAATTTCAACGTCAAACATAATTTCCAGATCATGATCCGGAAACAAGCTTTCCTCTGTAGTACGATTGTATCCCAGTCCACACAAAGCGCCTATGTAATAAGTGCCTATAGGGCTACGTCGCAGTTCCATATACGGTGTAAAAATTAAGGTGATTAGCGATGTGAGACCAGGTGTAATGGGCAAGAGGGTTGTATTCCGTAGACTCAATTGTCCCAAATTCTTGGAATTTCGAATGATATTTTGCGCTACCAGAAAAATTCCTTTTGGATTTTCCGGACAGGTATCAAGAAGAACGGAGTTGACTGATGTGGCTTCCACGCTCACTTTTTTTATTAGTCCCTTAGTTACCAGATGAACAAGTTGAACCTCTATCGGCGAATAGGGACCTTGCAATGTCACCTTCGATTGATATTCGCAACTTTCAGGTAAATCCGGATATGGTTTTTTATCGTACATGTATCGTTTGCTTGATGGTTCATTCGATTTAGCAGGTTGTTTGAACAGAAGTTTTCTGTAATCCTTCGTAAGCCCAAGAGCTTCGGCTTTGCGACAAGCATCTATCTGGCTTAATAAGTTTATCTGGATCGGAATCCGACATTGCCTGATTTTAACAGAATTCCGAACGAAAGTGTAGTCGGACATTACGCGATTCTTTTGCTCATATTCTATATAAACGCGGTTCGATCTGTCGAAGGATACGGTTATATTCTCGTAGTCTTTGGAGTTTATGAGCATATGCTGTCCGAAGATCTCTTGGAATTTCTTAGAATATAGTGACCCAGGCTGTTTCGTCGGCCAGCCTCGTAGGATGATGGTATTTGTTGGATCACGATCAGCTAACATCTTCTTTATATCTTGTTTGCGTTCGTTTACATTATATGGAAATTTGACGAAATAATTGGGATAAAATGCACCGGCGATTATAAATTTAATAACAAAATATCGATCGATAAAGAGACTTTCCCAAGTGATTTTCTCAGGACCCGTCGTCTCTTTTATGCCAAATCGGTATAGCTTAGATTTTATCTCACTTATAAAGGCATCAATCTCACGTAGTGATCTCACGCGGAGACTCTTTCGCCGCGCCCATTCTCTTTCCTGATTAGGATTGTTTATACGACGATTTGCCTTATCATTTTGCCACACTTTGAAGGCATTCAAGCAGGCTATGCTATCGCTATCGGATTTAGCGGACCAATGCATTTTCTCGTGATAGGTTGTCTCTAATTCGTGAAATCCGATATTGAATATATCCTTAACAGTCATGCTAGCCGCGATAATGATAGCATCCGACAGGAGGCCGAAAATATGACCCAGGATAATCAACTTCGTTACGTGCACGTCTAATGGAAGATTGGCCATTACAAGACCCAAAGGTGTCATATCTCCGTCAAATTCTTGTGTGCCTCTATTAAGCAGCGCACCAACTTCCTTTAATAACAATATAGTGCTCCGGATATTACTAAGATTAGGTGGATCTAGAGAAAGAGCGAGGAGAGCTTTTGGTTCACCCATATCCAGCAATTTCGACTTAAGAATGATATTCGCAAGTGGAGCCCTGAGCATTTCCGGAACAGATTCGTCGCTCAACACATTCTGTAATATTCAAAATGATTTAAGTTCTGCAGAATTAAAGAAACATTGAAAGTGACATTTTGATGTGAAACTATACACTCACCTCGTAAAATGCTCTTGATACCATTCTGTATACTCTACCATCCATTACGCGGCCTGTACGTCCAGCACGTTGCTGACAATTTGACTTGCTTGCCCAACAAAGTTGCAGGCATTGATAATTAGTTCCAGGCTCGGTGACAAGAAGTTTTGTCAAGCAAAAATCAATCACTGAACAAAAAAATGAGAATTATATTAATAGTTCTATCTCGACTCACAGAGATAAAAATAATCCAACAATTACTTAATCTTGATTGAATATAGCATACCGTATTTAACATCGGGTACCGTAATGCTACTCTCAGCGATATTCGTCGATAATATGATACGCCGATGATTTTTCGGTGGTTTCTTAAATATATTTTCTTGTTCCTCGGTTGAGATCAATGAATGTAAAATAATTATATCCCACTGTGAACCCTCATGTTTTTCCGATAGAAGTATAGAACGTAAATCCTCGATTTCACTAAATCCTGGTAAAAATACTAGCACAGCAGCTCTTTCGAATTCATAATTTGGAACATCATTCTTGTTGTCAATACTGTCGAAAATTTTTATAACACGCACGGCAAATTCTGCTATAGAAGTCATGAATGTTGGTTCCTCGGGTACTTCAGGTATCTGTACAAAAAGACAATATATTTTCCATGATTGTTTCTCCATTAATCGCGCGAATCAAAATAAAAAAAGAAAGGAAATGAAGTAAATTATTTATTAACAATATTCTTATTCTAAATTATTGAAACAACATCTTTAAAATATTAGCAAAAATTTAATCATTGTGAAACAACATTTGAAATAATGAAACAATGGCAATCTCTACTTTAAGAATCTTAACATATAATATCTTGTTTTCTCTCCATCTTTAAAGTAGATAATGATCATACTCGTTTTTTTTTTAAACTGAAACATACAATTTAATTACGCTTTAATCGTGCAAAAAATATATACTTACAACACCCAAATTCTCCAGCTCGTTTATATAATATATAGAAATTTCGTAAGGACCATCTCTAGGTATATCGATGATCGGCGCAGGTAAAAGTTGATTTTCCACGGGTGTGGAAAAATACGATGAAAATTTATCCACGTCGATTGTCGCAGACATCAGTATAACTTTAACCATCGCAGAATTTGTACGTAATAATTTCCTCACTACCAACAGAAGGAAATCCATGTCTTCGTCACGTTCATGTACTTCGTCTAATATAACATGAGTGTAATCCATCATATGCTTCTTGTTCGTAAGCTTGTTTAAAAGCACACCAGTCGTGCAATAAGTTATACGAGTGTCGCGATTTACATTTTTGATCAAGCCCATTTGATATCCCACAAGTGTACCAACGGGCCAATCTCTTTCTTGACTGACCC